TAGTCACAAATGTTTTGTAGATTATTTCAGCCGCAGCTTATTGATTTGGCTGATTTATTTCTGGTGTAAAGCTGCACACCGCTGCGCTGCTGCAGGAACCAGCAGCACTGCTGCTGGTTCCTGCCTACCGGCTGCTGCCAGCTTCTGCATGTCTCTCTTCCACCATCGCAGCACGTTCGCCGTATGACTGATCAGTCTCTCTTGCAAGTTTCTGCACACTTTTAAAAACAGTAGAATAATCTGCAGCTACAGCACTCTCGCTAGCACCTTTCTGATAACACTTTTTGGCCATTGGAAAGTTCTTTGTCATTCTGTTTTTCTGCCGCGTTTCATATGCAGAGAAAGGGATCTTTGTACCATTTCAATCCATTTCCCATATTCCTAACTAGATCATAGCTCAGACCATGCTGTACAGAGGGCACCTTCCTGGACCACTTGATGCCCGGTCCTACTTGACTTTTGTCTGGCCAAAGCACACAGCAGCCAAAGACATTTTGACAAGTTTGCATTTGCGATGTTTCGACAGAAAAAGCTTATTTTGGAAGCTTTCCTCCCAAACAGAGCCTGATAATTAGACAAGAGTCTGTCTAATTATTGTTATAGCCACCTCTCTTTGCTGCAGTTTCCTTTAGGGATTTTTTTTAATGTCCCTAAGTATTCAGCTCATTGTGCAGAATGACAAGATAAACATGGTTCATCATCCAAAAATAGATTTATTTCTCGCATTTTATTCATACCACACTGAAACATAGCGTGGATTAATAATTATAACACTACTAAATGTTCTAATCAACTTTAAAAACAATGGAGGACTGAACAGCCGAAAGATTTTGGAGATGCTTTTCCTGCAACAAATTTCTCTTTGGTCCAGCAGATAATCTTAAACTGGTCACAGTGGGAACATTTCCAGAGTTTGGTCAAATCAGCAGCGCTAACTGGAGAGTCCTGTTTGCGTTGCATAACACTAAAGGCATGAATTCATATTAGCGAGAAATACCAACCAAACCAGCAGCTCTGCCCACTTACTTAATTACATTCTCGTCTCCCACTGTGTCCTTTTTAGATTCTGCCAGAGAGGGAGCCAGGGTTTTAAATGTCCAACACAAAAGAGGCTCTGAAGTCACAGATGGTTGGACGCTCACTGGCCTTAAAACTCCTTCCTCTCTCGCTCGGTTCCCCCGATCGGCCGTAGTCTAACTGTTGCCTTTCTTTGGTACAGGTGTGAAGACCCGCTCCTGCTCATCCTCCTCCTCCTCTAACTCCCCCCACCCCATAAAAACCCACCCAGCTAGCAGCTGCTGCCTCAAAACCTCGCAGCTCATGTGTTCCATCGCTCTGTCCCCACTATCGCCCCTCTCATCGTTTCCTGCCTCTCCCCCCAGGAGCCTGGGGAGCTCTGTGCCACCCCTTAATCTTCCTCCCCTTCCTCCTCTTCTCCCCTTCTCCTCCCTCTGTGTGAGTATTACTCATCATAAGCAGCATGTGTCTGTGGCACAGGCATGGGACCGGGCATGTGGTGGGTGTGGGTGTCTGTGGGCTCGAGTGTGGGACTCGCCAGAGATTTTTCTGCTAACGAATGCATGATGGCTTCCATTTACACGCGGACGTTGCGCCTGCAGATTAATAACCACATTAGCACGGGGATAATCAGTCACTGCGGCGCTATTTGGTGCATGGCGGCTCCTTCTTCAACACTCGGGGTGGGGGTTTCCTCTTTCACGGACTCGCTTGCAAACAATAAATGCTCTTGTCCAGGTTTCTTATCAGAGGCGGTTCAGGCCGAGCGGTGAAGCTGTCGTAGCAGAGGCAGCGGCCCGTCTTCGTGTGCGAGCTTTACCCTCGCACTTTTTGTGATCCAATTTAAAATGTGTGTCTTTGTCACTTGCATGCTTAGCTTTTGCTGACTCAGCGCTCTTTCAGATGGATTATGTCAAGCCTGTCCTGCATCGGAGGTCAACGACACACAGTTTGAAAGATGTACATGAATACAAACTCTTTTAAGAATTGCAGTGTTATTTAAATGAGAAGCAGAGTAACAACTATTGCCCCCTATGTCCTCCTGCACACTGCCATGCAGCTGGCTAAAAGAATAATCCCACACTTTTCTCTGAAATGTGCCCAAATAGAGATATTTGCTGTCATGCAAAACACAGATAGGAAGAAATTAAATTACATAACATATTATGGTAGGTTCTATCAAGTGAAATTGCCTGTTAAAATAAATTATATTTACTTGTTATTTTTGTCTTTATCTGTAAAAACAGAGCAGCTTATGTAAATGTCCAACCCTTCCATCCATCCATCCTCTTTTGTAGATTTCATATTTGAAGCTCATCCTTTGTAGATTTTTATTTTTTACAATAATCTCAGATTGTTTTACTGTGTGTTCATGTGGATTATGGACCAAAGACGCCCATATTTTTTCCAATCCATCTTAGTTCAAGATGCTTTCTGGTTTTTCCCATTTTTAAGAGTGGTCAACACACTAACGTTTTCTTTACAGAAACAGGAATTATGAATTACAAATGAAATATTTATCAAACCTCTGATCAACTTAAACAAGTAAATAATGCATTGAATATGCCGAGGTTACACTTGTTTTATGTTAAATGTACCAATTTTGCTAAGTATTTTCTCCACTGATTGAGTTTGTGGAAATAAAATAGAAAATAAAAGAACCTGTCAAATAAGAACTTTATCACTCTCAGAAAATAAACATGGAGGTTCTCTGCTGCACCTGCACTTATCCAGGCAGACTTGATGCATGCAAAACACATTTTGTTTTACATTCTGGAGGCAGAATGAAGGAGGGAATGAAGCATTTTGGTAAGGGAGGCGGGTTAGTGAGGCAGAAACTGACTTCATTTCGACTTGGCAATGAACAAAGACGGTGAACAAAAAGAGGCGATTTACTCCTTCACTCCACTGCTTATGATTTTAATAAAACAAATATTACCTTGGTAATTGTTTTATAAGACATACAAAGCTATTTTCACTGTTGGAAACACAACAGACCGTTTTAGGTATGCCTGAGTATCATTTCACTTTGGCGGACCTACGTATGAAGCATTCCTTCACCAAGTTACATTTCCTGGCAATTTCCTGTTGGAATAGTTGGAATAGAAAGTCAAGCAAACTTTTTTATTATTACGTCTCCTCATAAAGGCACTAAAGTATAAAAGCAGGTCCACTTGTTTAATAGATTAAGAATTGTGCCATTGTCTGGAGCGACAGTTTTCTGACAAAAATGATGCTTTTCAGTCAGCAAATGATAAATATAGCTCACCAGCAACACCGTCAACAGCACTGATCCAAATTACCACATGTCAACTTGTTCTGAAAAATGTCACTGTCATGAATTATCTGTCAATGCCGGGCAATCATCCGCCTCGACTCAGGGAAACCTCTTCTTTTTAAACAAATGTTGGTGCTGCTTAATTTAGCAGCTGTGTAGACATTTGCTGTGATTATATTTTATGAACTCAGGTGGGGAAGTTTAAAATTACTTGAGTAACATTTTGAACAAAATGTATTTCTATAAGTAGATTTACTGTACCACGCTTCCTACTCGAGTAAAATACATTGCATGGCTGACAAAATGTAGTCTACACCAAAAGTAAAAAGTAGTCAGTATAGTGACAAATACAACTGTCTTGTATTTGGATCTTATGTGACCAACACAGAGAGAAACACATTTGGCCAATGGAAATAACACGACATGTTTTCAAAATGTGAAAGAAGAAAAATCTAGAAAGAGCGGTGTCCCTTTTTCAGCTCAGAAAATGAATGTTAAACGCGTCTAAAGATGATTGTTTTCCCCAGCTTTGGTCGTCGTCTTGTTGAATCAGACACCTAAGGCATCATCGAGTTCTGTGATTTCATTACTCAGAAATGAACTTAACCACAGACCGGATCTCTCGGGGGAACAAAGTTAGCAGACTTATAACCGCGAGGATCCTCAGAGGAAGCGGGCCTTGTTATCGGGAGTCATTTTTCCAAGAGGAGGACGATAATTGTGTGTGGATGCGTGCGCTGGTGCTTGTCAAGGCTTTATTGTGGTGAAATCAGCGAGTCCCGTCTCTTCTCGCTTCCTTAGCCGCATCCCCCAGGCTTTGGCTCTTGTTCTTCCCCAGAGGCTTTCTATTTTCACAACAGTGAGCCTGTGTGCTGTAGATAAGTTTCTTGACAGACAGAACAACGGCGAACCAGAGAAGGACTCAGTGTCTCGTGCAGGAATAGCTTATGTCCCGCGCACTTAGGTTAATGAGGTATAATGTGAATAATGGAGAGTAAAAGTGGCTTGAGACCTTTTAGTGGGGAAGTGATGCTGGCTTGGAATTGGCTAAAAAAAGGAAATTAAGGGTGTCTTCTCACCTGATGGCCTGGTAGATTCGATTCGAGTGAGGACCAAAGTTGTTAGATTTTCAGAAGGTGTAGTTTGCTTTCACGCTGCACTGTGTCTTATTATCCAAAGTGGAAAAAACATGTTCATCCCTCACCTGTACTGAGGGATCGACCCAAAGAGAAACCCGAGAGCAACTTTCTTCTCCAAGAAATTTCAGCAAAAATGGATTGGCATCAGATTTTGTAAGATTTCTCTTTTGTCTTTAGTAAAAGGCCACAAGCCATTTCTCCCTTTAATGCTAGACTCTCGCCTTTGTTTTGGGTGTATTTACCAGGAATCCCATGACCTTTGCTTTGCTTCCTGTTTTTGGAGCAGTCTCCGGTTAGCTTGCATCCACATATGCATTCGAACCGTGCCAGAGTTCACTTTGATGGAACCTATTTGTGGGTTTTTAGGCAGACCAAAGTTCACTCTTTTGGTCCGCATTAGAGTTCGATTACACATTCACACCTGCCCAAATTCACTGAACTTTCTGGACAAATTTAAATGAACTACAGTTTAATTAATGTGGACTAAGCATCGCTGGAGTGAATGCACCCTAAACCAATAACCAGTATTATTATTAACAGGGTTTTTCTCTCTTTTCTACTTGTAGGTATAAACAGATAATACCCAAACTTGACCCTCCTCCACCTTCCACAAACCGCAAGCGATCCAGCAGGACGTTCTCTCCGGGGTCAGAGGTCCCAGCTGTGCCCACGCCGGCGGCCCCTAGCCGCAGCAGCAGCCTCTCTTTCCCGGACATCACCCCCAGCTCCCTGTCGTCCACCGATTTCCACTCGCTCAGCAACGGCGACAGCAGCTCCTCCTCGTCTTCGGCCAGCGAGGACTCGGGCGTCCGCTTCGAGACCAAGTCCCTGCTGTCGCCCCTTCGCGACGACGATGACCTTTTTGCCGACCGCGGGGCATTTTTGATAGCGTCCAGCAGCTGCGGAAGCCCCCTGGAGCAGCACGGCGGGGCGGTCGCTTCGTCCTCTGATTCGTCGACCACGGAGTCGAACACCATGGCCTCGCGTTCTGACAGCTGTGATCAGCCGCTGTGCTTTTCATCTCCTATGAACGACACCTGCCTTCATATCAGTTTTTCGGAGGATGAGCTTCTGGAGAGCAGCCAGGAGGACACCAATACGACCCAGCGGAGTTAGGATGACTTAAATGTTATTCAGTCGACATAAAAAAAATAAAAAATCCAGGACTTGCTTTCAGACCCAACTATGTTTGCACAGGGCATCAATTTCAGGATCTTAAGTCGTTCCACTCACCTGTGACACAGTGCACGTGTTGCTAAAACGCTTGCTATTGTATCAGTAATTAGGCAATGAATAGATTTAGTATTTTTGTAATGAAATTTCTGATCTAATTTACTTTTTAGGGCCTAGAATGTTAAGCAGAGTACATGTAGCAATATATTGCACTGTCGAAGTCGTACTGAATTCACTGTAGAATTCAACACTAACAAAGGAAACACATTTTATTTTTGGTAGCCGTCGACGTGGAGCTGTTATTTTGTACGATGTTTCACCTTGGTGCAAATAAGTGGAAAAGGACGATCATTTGTAAAATTCACAGTTAAGACAAGAGCAGGGGACGGAGGTGATGTTGGGAAAAAGTTTCATCTCCTCAAATGCACCTGATAGGATGACGGACGGTAAGAAAAGAATTAGGAAGTCAGTGATTGGACAGAGGAGAGATAAAAGTCAGTCAGTTTAGTTGTTATGGTTGTTCTTGGGGCTATGGTTAGGCTCACATTCACGGTTTCTTTTTTTTGTCAAGAGCAAGTGGGATTTGGTTATGTCGAGTCTAGATATACGCTGGTATCAAACGTTCATGGTAGAGTAAAATACCACAGTATCGTGATATTGAAAACAAAAAGGCAGAACTTGATCTGAATGGTTTTATGTAAACCTAAGTGCAAATACTAGGAGTGTAGCAATACATGCAAGTCTTAAAAGGAGACAACATGCCAATATCAAAACTACGAAAAACAAACATTTCCATTTTTATGTCGTCACAAGCAGCAGTGATTTCATAAACAATCAAAAATCATCATGAAAATGGTTGTTAAATTGTGAATTTAAAATAATAAATCTGAAACATGACTTTTATTTTGCCAACAACAACAGCTAACTGTTAGTTGGCTGCTGTCTTTTCAGTGTTTACAAATCCTTTATTGTGTTATCAATCTGTCATTTCTTTTTTTTTTTTTACAAGGTACCTGAAATGCTGCCAGATATGTGATGTAAAAGTGGTGGAGACGTCTCTGTTGTTCGACGGACGATGTCAGGGCAACAACTCAAGAACGACTTCCTTTTATACCTTAAAACGAGAATTCAAAGAGGTTAAAGCTCTCACCTTCAAACCTGGACCTCATTCAGATAACTTATAGTTTCAGTTTTTCAAATATAAATCCAGCATGTTGATTATTACAATGAAGATACACATGACGTTTATTAATTCTTATTTTAATTTTGAACCACAGACTTGTCTGCCATTTTTCATGCTTTTAAATCACTTGGAGCTGATTAAATCTGCATCATGAAGATGCAGGTGGAGATAAGGTGGATAGAACAAAAACCCAGCCAAATTTATTTGTTTTAAATTTCTTACACCACAGCACTAGCGATGCACCAATATGAAAATTAATGTCTGATGTAAATGTTGCCATTACGTCCAATAACCAATATTTCTGAAAAAAATACAATTTCCCTTGTAGTAGACCTACATAATGCAAAGACACTTTATTATACTTCAGGTGTAACATTTCGTGAATTTTGTACTCGGAAGTGTAAAAAATAATATCGTAGTAAAATTGGGTTGACTATTTTTCTTAGTGTGGGTTCAAGTAAAAACACGTTTAAAAACCTCTGCAGCTCAGCAATAAACGGCTGAGAAGTTTATGCGTTCACTTTGCTGCTTTGCTATTCTTTATGACTTCACTGAAAGTGCTCTGTTGTGAGCTTTGATTAGTAGACGGAGAAACACAATAAAAGGGGAGATGCGAGGCGAAGCAGCTGCGGAGGGATGGAGGCGATGGGTGCGGAAGTAAAATGTCCTGAAGGGAAACGTTTTACACCAAAAGATGAGGCTTTTCCCCAACATCACGTTCAGCAGGGAGTTTTACAACACTAACATGGCTGAAAATAAAACACAATAAAGAGGTGTAGCTGAAAACTATGGCACTTTACTCTCTCTTTTTTTTCCATTATTTATTCTCAGGGAACCTTCACGTTGGTCTGGGCTTTGCATTACCCTGCACACGGAATGATAGAAAGGTTAATGTGCCGTGTATGACGCCTACGTTCTCTGTACTGCTGAAATTACCTGTCTGTGCACGTACTTCATTCTGCAAGTCAGCTTTGTTGACAGCCTTCTATATAATTTCCTGTAACCGTAGTACATTGGACCCGCAGACGGAGCTGAAAGCACCAAGGAGCTTACATATAGCAAAGTTTTAGAGAATTAGCTGAGTTGGCAGCAGAGAAGTCCTCCTCGGTTTGTTGATAACATTTGAATCAGATCTCCTTGTTTATAATTCTCCTCGTTTTCCACACAAGTCTCATTAAGGCTTTGTGTCACTTTTTCCAGAGGCGTCTTCAAGCTTAGCGGTTCTCTCTGCCACGCGAAAGCCGAAAGGCATGCATGCACAGCACTGCCGTCACTGCCAGGCATTAAGACGAGGCTGACCGGCTTATTGCCCTCAGGGCCTCTGCGCAATGCACTCATTAGAAATTAGGCAAATAGGAATTCCCTTTGCTATGAGGTATTAAAGCTGTAATTTGTCCCAGAGCAGCTAGGATCTCAGAAGTGAAAGCAGCATCTCTTGGCACAGCAAGCATAAGAGTTGCATGTTTTGTAGCAAGAAATACACCAATTAATCTGCCAGGGATCAGAATTGACTACATTAAAGGCAATAATGAGCTTCAGTCTACTGCTGCTGTGCAAAAGTATGTTTTCATGACGCTTAAAATTTTCAAACCATCCATCCATTTTCTTTGTACCCCACGAGAGGCGGGGTCCACCCTGGACAGGTCACTAGTCGGTCGCAGGGCAACACAGAGACACACAACCATGCAAACACACTCACACCTAGGGACAATTTAGAGAAACCAATTGACCTGACAGTCATGGTTTTGGACTGTGGGAGGAAACCAGAGTGCATGGAGAAAACCCACGCATGTACAGGGAGAATATGCAAACTCTATGCAGAAAGACCGGGCCTTGGAATCAAACCCAGAACCTTCTTGCTGCAACAGCTCTACCAACAGCAGCCCCCAAACCACCCAACTAATAATATAACTGGAGTAAATACAAAATGAGGATTCCATTTATTAAAGGAGACAAACGTATTCATACCAGACTTTATGTGAGAAAACAAATGACATCTTTGAATTTTGGTGACAACTGCAGTCGAGAATTTGAACACTGACGTCAGCTGAGAGAAGCAGAGACTTCAGGCTCTGGATGTCCTGTTTGTGACTCTATGAGCGAGTTGTTGATGCACTGGTGGAGTCATGTTGGTCATTTAAGTTGGATAAATGACCATCTTACCCAATTTGCCCAATGATTATTGGATAAGTGATCCAATGATCATTTATCCAATGATCAAAAGGCACTGTTTCACCTTCTGAGATCCTTTCATATTGCCAAACAGGATTTAAGTGTTTTGTTTTTTGTTGTTGTTTTTAAGAGTCAGGCAGTAATTACCCCAAGGTGAGGTGAGTGAAACTGAACCAATAAAGGTGGGAATCACAGTAATTGCTGGTTTGACAAGGGAGAATTTATTCTCACATTCAGTTAGGTGATTTGGATACATTGTTTCTCCGTAATAAATGAAATCATTGTTTAAAAAAAAAAAACATTTTATATTTGTTCATGTTATCTTTATCCATCCAATCATCTAGAGTCTCTTATCCTTGCAGGGTTGTTGGGGTTTGGTGTCTGGCAGGAGACACCAGGGACAGATTGCCAGTCTATTGCAGGTCAACACAGAGACACACAGGAATAGCAACCATTCACACACACTCAAAACTAAATGCAACAGAGGTAGGTTACTTTTTTTGATGATAATGATGATTTGAAATATGTATTTGTGATGAAAAAGAATTCAGATTAGATTTGTACTATTTCGCAGCAGCTTGTAAACAACACCGTATGAGATACCTTCTTCTGAGTTTAATAAAAAAAAAAAAGTCAGATAAGATTATGTCAACATTAATCTTGTAAGCTTCATTTTCTGTCAGGTTCTAATCTGCTGTCTGAAAAAACTTTACGTTTTTTTTGTTTGTTTTTTTTACTTTTATGTCATAGTCCTTTAAAAAGCAAAATGTTATCAAAAAAGTCAAAATCTGCAACTCAGACCTAAGAGAACACTAGAAATCAGTAATGGCGAGGAAAAGCCTCGATGCATCTCTCTATATAACCACCAGTTCTCACTTCGTGCCACCTTCCAACATGGTATTCCCCAGCCGGACAATCGATGATGCTGTCAGGCCGTCTCGCCTGCACTCTCTCCTCCTCCAGCAGTAGCTTCCAACCAAGTCCAATGAGCCCGATCAATACCGGGACTGCTTTTTGATCTGCGATCAATGCGATGCAGCTCTTAAGAGCCACATGGCAGCTCCGGCTCTGAGGTTTTACACAGACGCTTAAAACACAAGGCCCTCGCACTGTGTGCAGTCATTAATGCTGCAGAAGAGGCATTAGCCGCCTGTGTGAGCGGACCGGGGCGAGCCTGCCAGTGGTCAAAGCTAATGCGAGGCCTGTGATCACAGCGACGCGGGCGAACTCAACAAGCTCCTAACTGCTACCAGCAGGGCTGCAGATAAAGCAAACGGGGCTGACTTTATTGTTGCGTTTTCCTTTAATTATTCAAGAATGCATGTGCTCTGAAATTTCATTCTGTTATCTACATCAGAGGAGTGTCAAGACTAAAAAATGTAAACAAGGTGTAGGTTTTTTTTGTTGTTGTTGTTTTTTACTGATTGGAAAAGGCCTTAATGGTCAGATAAAACGTTAATCCTTCACTTTTTTATAGTGGAGGGTGACATAAGCAGTAGTTACAATAAACTAATATAATACAGAGCAATTTCAAAAGGTGTTATACTTTAAGCTTAGGGGGTTTTTTTAATGTAATTTTGTGATTATTTAGACCTAGTCTGTTGCTACTGCCAGGCAAATTAAGATTTAGGATAATACCTTTATTTTGAAACCAACAAGTCTGGTTTAGTTCACCCTTGCCACCCTTCACCCTTGGTTTAACTATAGGTCTGCATAATAAATGTATGAAAAAGTTCTATATGTGTTTAAATGGCATTTCCATGTGGGTTTGGCTGCTAGATATTTCAGACTTTGATTAATTGTTTTTTTTGCTTGTTTGTTTTTGGTTTTTTTGTACATCTGTCAGCGAAGCGAGTCATCATGGTTTTACACAAAAATTGAAGAGTGAGCCGTGTAGTGTAAAGCCAATACTCGGAGGCTGATTATTGATGAAGAGCAGATGGAACTGAATATAGATCGACAGTCGGTCTAAGCAGCAGGAAAACTAATTCAACAGAGGACTGAGAACGTAGCAAGAACATAACCAGAAACCAAACTAACCAGAAAGAGGAATTTACACACACACACACGCACACACACACACACACACACACACACACACAAATCAGAGGATTAAGCTTCTCCTACATCTTAAGTTTGTCTTTTATTTACATACACTTTTCCTGTCTACCTGTAGCAGAATGAGAGTGAGTCACAGATAATATTCTTAGCTGAATTTCTATCAGGCTTTTCCCCTGACATCGTTGTGCTGCTGGGAACCTTTTGAAGCGACATGAATGTAAAACTATTTCTCGTCTGACCCTCTAGCAGAAACAATAACCTTGGGTTCAAGATATTTCTTCTCACAGAAACGTTTCTTTTTGAGGTCAAGAGAAGAAGTAATAACGTTTCCTCCCTCTACTATTAGAACCAGATGAAAAAAAAAAAAGGTCATCTATGCCCTCCGAAAGCCACGCATCTCTCTCTGCTTGCTCTCTGATATTCGACACAGCTCCACAATTTTCTACAAGTTGCAGTGACTGAGACGGGGTGTTTCTTTCAT